GAGTAGATTGCAAAAATTTTCTCCCATTCTATAGGTTGCCTGTTCACTCTGATGGTAGTTTCTTTTGCTGTGCAGAAGCTCTTTAGTGTAATTAGATCGCATTTGTCAATTGTGGCTTTTGTTGCCATTGCTTTTGGTGTTTTATACATGAAGTCCTTGCCCATGCCTATGTCCTGAATGGTATTACCTAGGTTTTCTTCTAGGGTTTTTATGGTTTTAGGTCTAACATTTAAGTCTCTAATCCATCTTGAATTAATTTTCGTATAAGGAGTAAGGAAAGGATCCAGTTTCAGCTTTCTACTTATGGCTAGCCAATTTTCCCAGCACCATTTATTAAATAGGGAATCCTTTCCCCATTTCTTGTTTTTGTCAGGTTTGTCAAAGATCAGATGGCTGTAGATGTGTGGTACTATTTCTGAGTGCTCTTTTCTGTTCCATTGGTCTATATCTCTGTTTTGGTACCAGTATCATGCTGTTTTGGTTACTGTAACCTTGTAGTATAGTTTGAAGTCAGGTAGCGTGATGCCTCCAGCTTTGTTCTTTTGACTTAGGATTGTCTTGGCATTGCAGGGTCTTTTTTGGTTCCATATGAACTTTAAAGCAGTTTTTTTTCCAATTCTGTGAAGAAAGTCATTGGTAGCTTGATGGGGATGGCATTGAATCTGTAAATTACCTTGGGCAATATGGCCATTTTCACAATATTGATTCTTCCTATCCATGAACATGGTATGTTCTTCCATTTGTTTGTGTCCTCTTTTATTTCACTGAGCAGTGGTTTGTAGTTCTTGAAGAGGTCCTTTACATCCCTTGTAAGTTGGATTCCTAGGTATTTTATTCTGTTTGAAGCTATTGTGAATGGGAGTTCATTCACGATTTGGCTCTCTGTCTGTTACTGGTGTATAAGAATGCTTGAGGCAAGCCAACATTCAAACTCTTTGACATTTCTAAATGTCAGTTAGAATAACAATCCCATTCTCTCTGCCTAATTCAAGAGGCTTGGGATTCAAGTGCACTTCTTAGAAGAACAGTTTTTTTTTCATCTAGGATATTTCATATAATGGCCATTATAATTCTGAATTATCTGTAGTAAAATTCTGCCACTTTTGTAAATCTTTGCAACTTTTGTGGGCATAATTTTTATCCTTGAGAAAGTCAGGTGTACCAGAAGGCAGAGTACTGACATCTTTAGAAATTAGGGATCTTATTTTTATGTTGGATCTTGGATGTTAGAGCCAAGATGGCTTTGGCACTGAAATCTCAGCACACAAGAAAAGAAGAAGTAAAGAGCCCCGCTGCAGTAATAACCAGTTAGTGCAGCTGATGGCAGTTACCTTAAAAACTGCAGCTTTTTTTTTGCCAGTGACTGTTTAGTCACTGCAAACGAAAGGTTATGTGCCCTGCCATAGCACAGACTACCCATTGGTACCCCAAAAGCCAAAGAGATCAGAGTACTCAAATACAAAAGAGAGCGGAGCCCAGACCTAAGAGGAACTTACACATGATTCTCAGGGCTCCAGGAGGAAGACAGGGGACCCACCCCCAACCACTTAAAGGGGAGGTTAGCAGTATCTTTCCTGTGTTCCTCAAGGAGTCTCAGAGACATCGGTAACCTTCTTCATTCAGTCATACAGTCCCTTCATTGGTCACTGTATCTGTCAGAAGACAAAATTACAACAAATTTAGTTTAAAGATCTGAATTGGCTTTATGTGTAGTTCTAGAATCATGCAATGCTTCATTCCACTAAGTAGATAAGTGTCCCAATGAGTCGAGCAAAGAGGTTTGTTTTATAGACAGAAAAAGGCCTTAAGAAAGCAGAAGCAAAGAACAAAAAGTGGATCAGTCATTTTAAAGTTACTTTCCTTATATGGTGGGAGCTGGGAGACAAGATAATAGAAAAATAACAGTTTGGTTAACATTAGGTTGTTTTCAGGTTAAGGATTAAAACAGGAAATTTCACTGTCATGCCAATGGAAGCTCCTGTTTGGGAAGTTGGGTATTTTCTCTCTTTCCTGATTTTAGAAAGTCAGATAACAACTTAGTTTTGATTTGATGATGTGGAATTTTAGCAAGGGTGACTCCATTTAGATTTTTAATCTGGTTTGTTGGGCTTAGTCCAAAACAATGGCCCCCTATGATTTTTATGTAACAACCCTCTAGATTCTTGGTTCTGCCCTCTAAGTCATGCTTTATTTTTAATGAAACTACTCATGTTTGCAGCTGAGTAGTTTTGTCAGCCTGCTTCCTGCCAATAGAATTTGGGGGCACCAGCATCGTCCTTTCATTTTGTATTCTCTCTGTCCCTTTGATTCCACGCTGGCAGTGTTTTTGCTGAAATGAATTTTTCAAAAACTTTGTTAGTATTCTGTGGATTTTATGGAGATTCACTTCATTGTAAGAAAGGCATATCCACAGATCTTTTAAAAATAATCCCTTTTGCATCTTTGGCTCATGCTCAAATGGCTGAGGGATGATGCTTTTAAATTCCTAGAGGCCCTCTGATTTGATTGACAGGATCTGTGAAGCACACCCTTCATCACTTGAAAGGGACCTTTGCCTGACTGTATAATACCAGTTTTTGATCTTTCTGAGATTTTAGCAAAAGGATATACAGTCACACTCTCAACTTTTTCTATAGAGCCTGCTTTCTTAACAGTGAATTTCTTAATTTTAGTGTCTTTTTTATTTGGAGAAGCTGAAAATTTTTAAAATCGTGTCCCCTTTCATTTTTGTATAAGTTCTCTCAATTTCTTTCTCTTTCTCCTCTTGCATTTTACTGTAAGTGGTAAGAAACTAGGTGGTGCTTTCACACCATTGCTTGGAAATAACGTTAACCGTATATCTAAGGCCATTGCTTACAAGTTTATCTTGTCACATAACTATGGGGTACAATTTCCCTAAGTTTTCTGCCACCATCACAAGGGTCTCCATCGCTCCAATTTCCAGTAACATATTCCTCATTTCCTTCTGAGCCCCCATCAGTGGTGTCCTTAAGGTCCAGGGGTCAGTTGAGAACTGGTTCAAGGCACTTTAGCCCTTCTCTATGATGCTGCCCAGTCTCCTTCCACTACCCAGTTCCCAAGCCTCTTCCACATTTTAGATATTTGTTACAGCAGCATCCCCTTTCCTAATACCAAACTTTGTATGGTAGTGTAACGAATTACCACACATTTAGTGGCTTAACACAACAAACATTTGCTCACAGTTTCTAGGGGTCAGGAATATGGGCACAACTTAACTGAATCCTCTGCTCTTGATCTTACAGTGCCAAATTCACAGTATTAACTGGGTTGCATTTTCATCTAAAGACTTGAGTTTGGGGAATGATTTGCTTCCAAGCTCATTCACGTTGTTGGCAGAGTTCATTTCTTTGCAGCTGCATGAGTAACCACCCTAGCATCTTATTGTGTTCTTATGGCTGTAGCCCCCCTGAAGTCCCATATTTCCCTGCCACATGATCCTCTTACAGCCATCTCACAACTTGACTGCTTATATCTTTAAGGCCCATGGGAGAATCTCTCACGAGTTGCATCTATTGTAACATAAGCATGGGAGTGACATCCTGTCACCTTTGCCAAATCGTATTAATCAGAAGCAGGTCACAGGTTCTATCTACACCCAAGTGAAGGGGGCCTTAGGGTGTGTATCCCAAGATAGTCTAGGAGGTTAAATACTATCTCCTAAAGATATCAGGTCATAATCCCTGGAATGTGTAAATGTTACTTTATTTGGAAAACAGACGCTTTGCAGATGTGATTAAGATAGGGATCTTGAGATATAAGGATTATCCTGCATTTTTAAGGGATAGGGGAGTGGACACGAAATGCGGTCACGTGTATTCTTATAAGAATGGGGTAGAGGGAGATTATACACATGTAGAGAAGGCCATGTGATGATGAGGCAGAGAGAGATTTGCAGATGCTGGCCCTGATTAAAGATTGGTGTGATGCACCTGTAGTCAAGCAATGCTGGCAGCCACCAGAAGCTAGGGGAAGCAAGGAACAGCTTCTCCCCTAGAGCTTTCACAGGGAGTATAGCCCCGCTGACACCTTTATTTTGCCCCAGTGATACTGATTTTGTTCTTTTGGCCTCCAGAACTGGAAGACAATACTTTCTGTTGTTTTAAGTCACTTAGTATATGGTAATTTGTTACAACTACCTCAGAAAATTAATACAGATAAGTAGTAAACGAGACCTGAGTGGTGCTTTTTAAATGTATTTCTCTGGTTATTCAGTGAAGCTAAGTATCTTTTCGTAAGGTTATTAACTATTCTGCAACATTTCCAACTCATGTCTTTCATCTCTTTTTCTTTTGGACCTATCTATTGATTAGTAGGGATTCTTTACATAGTGTAACTACTAATGTTTGTCAGTTATACATGTTACTGCAGAAATGTACCTGTAAACTATCTTTTTACCTTGTTTGTGGGGTATTCTGCATTCAGATATATTTTCAACTCTTTTTATTGTGAAAAAATTTAAGTACATTCAAAAGAAGAGAGAATAGTGTAATAGACCTTCCATGCTCTTGTCACTTAGTTCAACAATTATCATTATTTTTCCCCAGAAGGATTCATTTCTACCTTTAAGGTTTGTACTTTTTGTGCATTATCTAAGAAATCCTTAAATAAAGACTGTGTTCCTATTATTTGTGTGGCTATTTCTGTTGTGAAAACCCTCATTCTTTTTTTACTTTTATATAAATATTATGTATAATAATTTTTAATATATTCAAAGCACCACTGGTCTCAGTATTCATCTCTATCGTCTTCCTGAACAGCCTATATTTTTCTTATTCAGCCCAAGCTATTGATTCAGAACTTGGGAACTCTCCAATTGCTCCAACAATATCATGCATGTTACCATAGAGCTTGTTGAAAATCCCATACATCCCTATAAGAAGGCTAATTATTCAGGAGATTTCAAAATACGAGTCTGAGTCAGCTAGCAGGAATTGTTGTGTTTACTAAGTAATTCCTCTCTTTCCCTTTCTTGTTTCTAGTGTGCCACCTGGGCTTGAAGGCATGAAGGAACAGGACCTGTGCAACAAGATAATGGCTAAAATTCTAGAAAATTATAATACCCTGTTTGAAGTAGAGTATACAGAAAATGATCAACCGAGATGCGAAAACCTGGCTAGGCTTATCATAGTAAAAGTAAGCAACTTGGTTTTTAATTTTCAGTATTGCTGTAATTTTAGACAGAAGATTTTATTTAATTCTTTCTCATAAAAATTCCGTATGAATATAACCCTGAGATTATTATTCCTATGTGTAGTGAGTTCTTCTTATGAAATCTATTATTTCAAATGTTTATTATATTGAAATATAGCCTTATAAGATTCAAGAATAATAGCAATTTTATGTTTTCTTGTTGCTATAAAGTCGTCTCAAAAATACTTGCATGAGCCCAGTGCTATGGTCAACTGGCCACACCACCCTTACTACAGAAGCCTGATGTTACAGCAGGAGTAAGTGCATATAGCTGTGATCAGGAGTGCTAGCTTACTAACTAGATTGCAAATTCCTGAAGACAATATTACTGTGTCTTTTTGTCTCCTTTGTGTCTGGCACAGTTTGAAGCTCAACCTCAGATTTTAAGTCCCATATATTAGTTTTTGGTAGCAATCATCAGTAAAGGAGAATATTTTAAAAACCTATAAAGGAGTCCTTGACAATACTATCTAAGTCTTTTTATACATTGGTAATTTTATAATATACCCTGTATATATTAGGTAAATGCCTGTAGGTCTCCAAAGACCTAGAATTGAGAATCAGAGGGTAAACATCCAAACAAATCTCTCAGATATGGGAAAATAAGGAAGCCATCTTATTTCGTCCTCATTTATATTGAGGTAAATCATGATGGAGCTGGTATGAGATTTCCTCAGGAGGTTTCTTGAAGATTATCAGGTTTACAGACCATAACATACTCTTTGCTGATTCATATAGCAATGAATGATAAAATCAGAGACACTTGGTTTGGGTGCTTAAAGGAATGTTTTCATCTCTTCTCCCAGTTGAGGCTATGTCTTTGAAGAAAGGTTAAAATGGTATGAGTATCAAGTAGCATCCTACGAAAGGATCTAAAACTAGATTTTCTAGTTTGCGCAGTTAAAATGATAAAATGAGATAATTGGAGACTATCAGTTGTAAATCTGAGTTGGAAGTAAAACAGTAGCTGAAAAAAATGTCAGCGATTCACAAGAGAAAATAAGAAAACAACATTACTTCAGTCTTACCTCAGAAAAGTTAAAATAAATGATTTTTTAAATAGAAAAAAATCCCCCTCAAGTTTGTTCCTCTGGTACCTGTAGTACTTTGAAAAGGATCTCTTTTTAAAATGTTAAAAGGTAATGAACTTTGTTTCAGCAGCATCTCTCAATCACATATACCCCATAAATATGTACAACTACTAAAGGACCCATAATGACAATTAAAAATAAAAAAATTTAAAAATCTCTTATAAACAATTTTTAACAGTCATACCTTTTTACTAGGGCAGATAAAACAATAAGGTGAACCTGAAGTATAATGGAAATAGATAAATATAATCTTAGTCAGGGCGAACTTGCTGAGATAAAACTAATTGCTGGAATATGCCATTGGGAAGCTGATATGGTTTGGATGTTTGTCCCCTCCAAACCTCATGTTGAAATGTAGTCCCTGGTGTTGGAACTGGGGCCTGGTGGGAGGTGTCTGGACCACGAGGGCGGATCCTTCATGAATGGCTTAGTGCCATCCCCTTGGTGACGAGTGAGTTCTTGCTATGAGTTCACACGAGACCTGCTTGTTTAAAAGTGTGTGGCACTTCTGCCCCTCACTCTTGCTCCCACTCTCGCCATGTGACGTACCTGCTCCCCTTTGTCTTCTGCTGTGATTGTGAGCTTCCTGAGGCCTCACCAGAGGCAGATACTCTGTACCTGCTGAACCGTGAGTCAATTAAACCTCTTTTTAAAATAAATGACCCAGCCTTAAGTATTTCTTTATAGCAACACAAACAGACTAATACAGATGTTATTTGCTGTGCAAGTAAAATAACACCTGTTGAGATCTGTGGAAGAGTGCCCTGCTTGGAAATCCTTGAGTGACTAGGTTTAAGGCTGGTGGAGAACATGGTATGAGACTATAATATAAGATATAATTCTGTGGGAGCCAAATACAGATGTCTTCAGTAGATGAAGAAGAATATAAAATGCTGCTCTTTTAATGTAAGTTTCAGATCTGGCCTAGAGGCAGATAAATGTCATGATTAGAAACTACGTTTGTAGTCTCTGGAAGTGTCATTCTGCCAAAGCAGAATTTTGATGCTTTTTTTTTTTTAACTGATCTTGCTGATAGTCTCTTCTTTGAGAAAGTAGAGAATGTGACAAGGGCTGTGATTCTCTGGACTTAATCATAACAAGTAAGGATGAAATAGAAGTTATAGTAGTCATTTTAAAAGGATATGCCAATGCCATTTTAAAGTACATAGTAATAAAATGAGAATATGTTAGCCACATTCAGATATGTAAATGTTGACAATGCTTCAAAAACAGACTTTTTTGAAAATTATAAAGATCATAGAAACATTAGATAGAAACTAAAAGGTAGATAGGTTTAAAAGAAATTGAGACTCTCAGAATGAAATCATTAATATACTGAAAAAGAAAAAAAATGAGAAGGTAATTAAAGAAAAGTGTCTTTCTGTTCATTTTTTCACATGAGTTCAGTTTTGGAAGGATGAATATAAAGATAGGAAATAGGCACAAAGTAAATGATAAATACCCAAGAGTGATAGGGACATAAAATATATGAGTTGAGAATAAGGCAAGTCTCATGAAAACGACTTAGATATAGGGCTTTTAAGTGGGGAAAAGGACTAAACATAAACACTGAGATACCTTGTATATCCCAGTTTGGAGAACAGAGTCATAAAATGTTGAATGAAGTTTCTTATATATTCTTGCATGCATGCTAAATGGAGATTTGGGCCCAGAGAAATATATTTGGTTGTATTTGGACCTAGATGAAGAACTTTGCCCAGCGTATTGGAATATGGAGTCTTTTTCTGTCATAGGCTGTCAAAGCCTAATGTCTGTTTCTGTTCAGCTGATTATGGTCAGTAGCTGCAAAATTGATCATGGCATCTATAGCACATTCATCAGCCTCACTTTGAGACAGACTTCCTCTGTCTGAAGGCCAAGGTAATGATAAGGGGAAAAGTTTTATCATTATGACTTCCCGTTCAACTTTGCTTTCCCTACCATTCTTTGGGAGTGAACCTAGGTCTCTAGAGTTTTTCCAGATTCTGCAATGGTTTGACCATGTTGACCAGATCTAGTTACCCCAGTGAAGGAAATTTTGGATAGACCTCTTAGCTCTGTGACATTTGGAGAAATATGATAATGTATATGTTGGCCCTTGGCATTTTAGCCCCCATTTTGTTGAATTTGGCAAATAGTCTTCACAGTCAGTGGTCCACAGTTATGGCCACCTCTTACTTCACTTAAGATGGAGGTTTCTTTTCTCTCATTCATTATTTTTGTTTTTATAGGTTTCAAGAAGGGAATTTACATAGAAACACTTTTATTTTGTCAGAATGAAAGGTCAAGGCTGTATTTCTGAATAACTGGGTTAGGAGAAGCACATCTTTCCAGTAGGCATCTAACAGCCACAGTCTAATTTCTCCAGCTGCAGGATAATTCTAGATTTTCTCTTCAGAAGGTGTTCTAAATCTAGACATTAGTGAAGCCCCATTCAAGAATTAACTTAATCATCCAGATATTTACATACACAAAATTTGGTGAGAAAAGTATGGATAAAATAATGGACCATGAACTATTAAGTTGAATTCATTAAATCCAAGTATTAGTAATTATTCAGTGCCTACTAGGAGTAATTGTTCTAGGTACAGTGAATAATAGATGAAAATCTCTGCCCTTATGATTCTTATATTCTAATGGAAATACAATAAACAACAGCCAATAAAAAAAGAAAAGAAAATATGTAGTATGTCAGATGGTGATATATTCTGTGAAGTAAAATAAAGCAGGGCAAGGCAGAAGTAGAGGAGTGGCATTTGCTTGTTTAAATAGGAGAGTTAAAATGCTTCATTGACAGGAAGACATTTGAGTAGAGACTTGAAGGAAGTGAGGCAGCAAGCCATGAAAACACTTGAGAGAAGAGTATTCCAGGCAAGGAGAAGAGCAGTACAAAGGCCTTGAGATGTGAATATACCTGGTCTGATGAGCAGCGGAGAGGCCAGTACAGTTGGATTGCCTTGAGCAAGATGGAATTGAAAGGAAATGAGGCCACAAAGGAAACAAAGGATCAGCAGATTGTGTCTATTGATAGATCGTTTTGAGGACTTCGACTTTTACTCTAAGTGAAGCTATTAGTCAGTATTAAGCAGAAGAGTGCTATGTTGTGACTTCTGTATTAAAAAGATTACTAGGCTCTTGAGAGGGATAGACAGAAGTAGGGCAATCTATTAGGAATTTATTACAATAGTCCAGGTAAAAACAATGGTAAATTGGGCATGGATGATGGTAATGAAAGTGATGAGACGATTGGAAGGTAAGCTAGGATGTGCAACAGCAATACAATAGGAGTTACTAGAGACTGTAGTTAGGCAGGCTAAAGAATGTTTGAGGCAGAAGTAGATGAGCAAGTAAGCTAGAAGAGTAGGGGCTGAAAACAGGAAATAGGAGGTTTGCATTACTGATTTTGGAGGTTGAGCTATCTGGAGTGAAAATAAGGCTTAAGTTGTGTTTCTGAGCATGGGGGACTAAAGTGAAGGAGAAGAGAAAATTATGGGAAAGGCGATGATAAAAAGATGGGAGATAAAGATATTGATGGTTTGTCCTTATTGACCCTGAATTTACCCAGAAGGTTGGCAGATATTGAGGGGTTCAGGAGTCTATGAGCCTGGTTTGTCTGGTTGTCCCGTTTGTGTATAAGTATTATGAATATATGTAATAGGGTTCATGCAAACCTCATATATATGCATACTATAAAATAATGTGATTAGCATATTGCTAAATATCTATCTAGAAATATCTAGATGAATATGAACCTATTCCAGATAAACATGTTATAGGACTTTATTAGATAGTGTTGCTATTGCTCATTATATCTTTTGGGATTTTAAAGTTGTCTTCAGAGCATATATATGT